TCCTAGGTTTTCCAGCTTGTTAGCATATAGGTTTTCATAGTATTCTCTAATAATTCTTTGTATTTCTGTGGAGTCCGTCGTGATTTTTCCTTTCTTGTTTCTAATTCTGTTGATGTGTGTTGACTCTCATTTTCTCTTAATAAGTCTGGCTAGAGGCTTATCTATTTTGTTTATTTTCTCAAAGAACCAGCTCTTGGTTTCATTGATTTTTTTCTATTGTTTTATTCTTCTCAGTTTCATTTATTTCTTCTCTGATCTTTATTATGTCCGTCCTTCTGCTGACTTTGGGCCTCATTTGTTCTTCTTTTTCCAATTTCAATAATTGTGACATTAGACTGTTCATTTGGGATTGTTCTTCCTTCTTTAAATATGCCTGGATTGCTATATACTTTCCTCTTAAGACTGCTTTTGCTGTGTCCCACAGAAGTTGTGGCTTTGTGTTATTGTTGTCATTTGTTTCCATATATTGCTGGATCTCCATTTTAATTTGGTCATTGATCCATTGATTATTTAGGAGTATGTTGTTAAGCTTCCATGTGTTTGTGGACCTTTTTGCTTTCTTTGTACAATTTATTTCTAGTTTTATACCTTTGTGGTCTGAAAAGTTGGTTGGTAGGATTTCAATCTTTTGGAATTTACTGAGGTTCTTTTTGCAGCCTAGTGTTTATTAACTTTCTTGAATGTGATTAAATTTTACACATTTTCAATGAAATACTGAGTGGAATATTTTGAAATTCACCCCAGAAGTCCTCTCTAATAGATAGTAAAATGTGTGGAATTACATACCCCTGTATCTTCTAGTTAGAACTGATGTTCTAACACCCAGTACTTCAGAAAGACACCTTATTTGAAAATCAGGTTGCCATAGATACAAGTAGTTAATTGAAGATGAGGTCACACCAGAGTAGGGTGAGCCCCTAATCCAACAGGACTGGTGTCCTTATGAGAAGAGAGATATTGGATACAGAGAGGCACAGAGGGAGGATGACATGAAGACATGCAGAGAAGATGGCCGTGTGATGAGGGAGGCAGAGATCAGAGTGGGGCATCTACAAGTCAAGGAACGCCAAGCTGCTGGCTGTCACCGAAAACTAGAACAGGTGCCTTCTCAGTGCCCTCAGAAGGAATCAATCCAGTTCACACGTGGATTTCAGACTTCTAGCCTTCAGAATCGTAAAAGAATAAATTTCTGATGTTGTTTAAGCCACCAGTTTATGTAGCTTATTACACTAGCCCTAGGAAATTCTCACAGTTGGTTGATGATAGATAGATGGGTAGATAGATAGATGATAGATAGACAGTTTGTCTTTCAGACCTCTTTGGTGTAGGCCTAATCATAAAATGAGGACCTAAGGAACTATCCAGTGAAGTAGTATAGTGGTCCCAAAGTTGTAACTTGAACCACATAAAATTGTCATTTTTTAAGTTAAAAATGGCTTAATATAGACAATTTTATGTGGCTTAATCTAATAAATAGATTACATAGATGATTTCAGTTTTCTGAAACCCCTTTTCCCTTAAAGAGCAGATCTTTAACTGAATTCCCTAGGAATATGTTTTATTTTTCTCCATATCACTTTTTCTCTATAAATAGGTTCCTAGGCTTCCATTCATTTCATTTAGATAAGGAAGTTCAGTCTTCATGACCTATATGGTATTAAACACTGGAGGCAATTGGTCTTTGAGGTTGTACCTGCTATTTCTCTTGTTTACACATCTCTGTGCATGGTTTATTCTAGGAGACAATGCTGAGGATTCCATCTAAAGCCGAGGTTTCTTCAGGGGATTTTCTCTCTTTCCACTTGGCATAGCAGTAACTGTGACTGACAACATCTGCCTTAGAGTACCACTCCACGGCTCCATCTGACACTTGGCTCCCATCCACATTTTCTTTCGCCTGCCTTCTGAGGAAGATGTTTCCACAACAGAGGAGAAAAGAATACAGCAAGGCCAAACAAGAGCTTTACTTTACCAATGAATAAGAGTCACAAAGCCACCAAATGTCTTTACCTGTCTCTCATTCTGACTCATCCAAAGATTTCTGACATAAACCAATATTCTCTAAACAAGTCCGTTTCCTCTGGTATTATGAGCGCTCAAAAATCATTTTTAAATGTTTATCTTCCTAGGTGTTCATACAGCTAGTCCCTTTCAAAATTTCCTCAACTATGAAAGTAAAATGGCCACTCACAAATTTTAATGAATTTTTTTTAACCAGTGAGAAAGAATAGAACAAATATGCTAAAGTATGCTAATTAATTTTCATAAAAAGTATATATTTAACAGGAAATTCTATTTCATAAAAATTTAATAATTCTTGATTCAAATACATTTTATGACTATAAGAACTTGATTTAAGAGAAAATTCCAAACCTTGCTGTGGAGAAACTGGAAATTCCTATAGGATCCTCACCTGACCCTAAACTGCTTGATGATGTAATTGGTCTACTGCTAGGCCACTGCTTCCACACCTGTAGGCAATGAGCTAGTATTGACTGAGTCACTATATAAAGAGGTCCGCCCAGTGCTCTGGCTGGAAACAGAGACAGAGGTGGATTATGGACCCGCAGACTGCTGGATGCAGACCTAATTCTACTGCTGGACCTATCGCGGGGAAAACAAAGCTGGGTGTAAACCCTTTTACCCCAAGAACATTCCATTGTCATTCCTCGGTTTCACTGAATTCATAGTGAACTTGCCCAGGGCTGAAACCCTCAGGCAAGCCACTTGCGAATCAGGAGATCCCTCTACATTCTGAAATAACTTAAATCATTACCTACACCAAATAGGAAAGCCAGAATACAGTTTTAGAAGCAATTGACATTTAAATTATTACTTTCTTCAATTAAACTGTCTTTGTTAGTTTAGTATGGCTTTAAATTCTAATGGACTGTTTCAAAATGTCATTCTACTTCTACTCGGCTGAAAACCCTGTGCCATTATGCAAGATTCTAAAATTTCCCTGTGCTAGACAATACATAAACAGCTGGTGCTATTAAGCTTCCTTTAGGAAGAAAAAAAATCCCTTGGCCTAAAAGGGGTATTATTTGACTTCAAAATGTATAATACTTTTCTCCTCAGCATACTTTTTACAGCTGGGTTTTTAGAAGTATATATATATATATATATATATATATTGCACGTATGTGTTCACATAAAATTTGAGAAAGGAAGAATGCACTATAAAAGAATATGTTGTGTTCTTGTGGTTTTATAAGGGAAACTACATAAGGACAGAAAGGGCAAGTAGGACATTACAATGCCAAACACTCTTTGGGGCATAGGGAACTGGCATTTGTAGTCTGAACTCTCACCTGCTGCACTGCTTATTTATTGGAGATGAGCCTAAGTAGCATTTGCCCTCTCAGCCCACTTACGATAGGGTGAAAAAAAAAAAGCAATCTGAAAACAAAATCCTTCCTTCTTGTTCAAATACAAATTTCTTAAATGAACAGGTTCAGTCCCAGAAGCATTAGCATTTGTCCAGCTGTACTTTACTGAAGCAAACCCAACATCTGAAAATCAATTGGAAGTTGATGACTCCTTATACAAATGCCTCCGTTTGTGTTGCATTTAGGTGTTTTTAAACAGCAAGCTTTTCTAGTGTGTACACATATGTATCTAAAACCATGACTGGTATACAAAGCAAGTTTACCTGCCCGTCTAAATACTTTCCTTGCCACACTTCTACCCACAGCCACATTCCATCGGAGACCCAGTTGCTTTCAGAGTCTCACAGTTTCCATCAAAACACAACCCATTTGGCTGCACTTTCATAATCAAGACTCGAATGAGTTAGCTGCATGTAGCAGCTCTCTGGTCCTTTTGTCCTTTGAACCGGGACTCCTGGCTTCTTCAGGTCACAGCTCCCTTAGAGATGTTATTATATAATGAAATAAACTTACTGTTTTCTTTAACACTTTGAGAGCATAAGGCTTCTGGGTCCCCTTCTGTTTGCATCTGTACACAATGGATGTAGCACCCCTTGAGCGGGAAAAAGACAAAAAGAAAATGTTATGCTTTGGTAATGAAATCAAGGCGAATGCTTGAAAATAAGTATCTCTTGAAAATAAGTTATCCTCATAACTGACAAGTTCTATAGGACCTGCCCAACAGTTGAACAGTGATTTTTCCTCACAACTGAATATAGTTTGCTTAGAACAATCCAGTCATCTTTTCCTCCTGGTCCATCCCCTACAAGTAACATGCTTAGGGCTGCAGCATTCAGTAGGCTCTGGAATAAAACAGGTCCTCAGGTGAACATAGCTTTTGGAGGACATCCACCCAATTTCAGGGTCCCTGAGCTTTCCTAAAGATATGTGTCTGGAGTAAAATAAACCATATGGCTTCAGGAGTGGGCTGAAGTTCAGCAGTTAGCTGTAAGGGTCAGGACAGTTTCCACTACTCGGCAAGGAAACTGGGGACCCTTGAGAACTTACACCACTTCATTGGGTGGTGCCCTGGCATTCTTCCAGAGCCAATGTCAGCCCTATCGAGATTCTGGCTCCTTCAGCTCGGTGAATACAGCTACAACTTATTTTCACATGCCTAACAAAAATAATTGTGTGAAATATCCAGGAGAAAATACTGTAAAAATGGTTAAAGATACATGGAAAAAAAGTAGGCTCATCTCTGTACAAAACAACTTGGAGAAGTACAGAATATAAGGGACTCAATAACCATCTTCATATATGTGTGAGGTCACTAAAAACAGAGCATTAAAAAGCAGGCCAGCATGGTCCTGATGCTCCCTTCCCACACGTGAGAGCGAAAGAATGAGAGACCAAGTGAGGCCACTGCCCATGAAGGCTTGAGTCACAGCCTCAGAAAGGGAACTTCAGATAGGTCTTAAAATAAGATCGGTTGAAGTAAATCTGTCAGACTTTAAAGATTAGGCCAAAGGACTTATTGTGATATATTCAGTCCTTTGGTTCTGAAATTCTAAGCAAGCACAAAAGAATTATAAAAATCAAACATTCCCAGCTACCCAGGCACAACAAAATTTTACCAGCACCAAGAGGAGTCCAGAACTCAGCAGTGAATGCTAACATATAAGAAAAACTTCCACACACTTTAGAAAACCTTTGGTAAGATATAACACATACATACAAAGAAATAAGGAGTTGTAGAAATGGAATAAATGGAGATGAATGTAAAATTTAACTTTATTTTTAATTACTCTAAAAATTGCTATCTAAAGCAAAAAAAATTAACAATGTACTATGCTTATAGCATATATAAAAGTCAAATGTGTGACAACAACAGCACAGAGTAGGGGGAAGAAATTCTGAAAATACTGTTAAGTCCTTCTATTACATGTTAAGTAGTATGTTATTATTTAGGTAGGCTCTGATTGCAATTAAAGGTGTATAATATGTAATTTAGGACAATCAATAAAATAAGTATTAAAAGAAAAAATAAATCAATACTGAAGCTAAAATGGAATAAAATGAAAAGCAAAATAAAATAAAACTTAAATGCAAGGGAGGAAAAAACAGTAAAATATAAAACAGCTAACTATATAGGTTATTTTAATCCAACCATATTAATTATTACACTAAGTGTAAACTTTATAAAGGCGTCAGGTAGAAATAAAGAACATTAGATTGGATTGAAAAATCAAGACCATACAAAAAATGTTTTTTTGTCATTTGGTCACAAATAAATTGACAGAAAGGAGATACTATGCAAACACACATCAAAAGAAAGCAGGAAAAGCTTTCTTAATTAATAATCATCTCAACCAGACTTGAGAATAAGGATAAAGATGGACATTACTTAATTTCAAAGGAATCAAGTCCATAAAATGACATATCTAATGTAAATGTGTATGCACCTAACAATAGAACTTCAAAATCCATGAAGCAAATGGATCGAACTGAAAGGACAGACAAATCCACAAATACATTTGAAGACTTCAACACATCCTCTCAGTAACTGGTAGAAAAAGCAGACACATTACCACCAAAGACATGAACAGTACTCTCAACCAAATTAACCTAATTGACGTTTAGAGAAAACCATACAGAAATAGCAGAATGTACATTCTCTTCAAAGTTAGAAGATTCACATACTTCATTTCCAGACTTAGTATAAAGCTACAGTAATCAAGACAGTGGTACTGAAGAAAGAATTAAAATGTGGACAAATGGCACGGAGAAAAAGATCGAGAAGTAGTCGTACACATACATGGCCATTTAGTTTCTAACAAAACTTCTTAGTTTCTGAAAAAGGCAATTCAGAGAGAAAGGATAGTCTTTCCAACTACAAATAGTACTGCAACAATTGGATACCCATATGCAAAGCAAAGACAAAAACAAACCACTTTGTCCAAATTCACACTCTACCAAAAAATTACTCAAAATATACCACAGATAAAAATGTAAAACCTAGAGCTCTAAAACCTTTTTTAAAAAACATAGAAGAAAATTTTGTAACTCTCAGTTAAGCAATGATTTCTTCCATAAAAAGTCAAAAGCACAATGCATCAAAGGATAAAAAAAATAAACAGGACTTCATTTAAATTAAGAACGTCATTTGAAAGTCACTGACAGGGAGAAAATTTTTACAAATCACTTATCTGATAAAGATTTGTATCTAGAATTACAAAGAAACTCAAGGCCCAATAATAAGAAAATAATGTATTTTAAAAATGGGCCAAAGATTTAACATATATTTCACCAAAGAAAATGTATCAATAGCAAAAGGCACAAAGAAAGATGCTCATAATTAGTTATCAGGGAAATGCAAACTAAAACTAAAATGAGATACAACTACATTATTTTTAGAATGCCTTTTTAAGAAGAGAGAGGGACAATACCATGGGTTGCCAAGGATGCAGAGCAACCAAAATTCATACACTGCTGAAGGAAAAGCAAAATGGTGCAGCCCCTTTGGAAAACAGCCTGGCAATTTCTTATAAAATTAAGAATGACATACAGTCTAACCATCTCACTCCTAGGTATTTGCACAAGTTAGATGAAAGCTATGCCCACTCATGAATTGCTGTAACAGTTTATTAGTAACCATCAAACACTCCATATAACTCCACTATCCCTCACCTGCAAAATGGACTATCAATCTATGAGACAACCATTCAGTGGAATAGTATCCAGAAATAAAGGGGAATGAACAAGGGTGCACACAACTTGGATAATTCTCTAATGTAATATCCAAAGTGAAAGAAACTAGGTTCGAAATGCTGTATATTATATGACTCTTATGTAATATTCTTACAAAGATAAAACTATAAGGAACTGTAAGAATAGAAAATAGACCAGTGGCTCAGAGGTGGGGAAGGGACTGACTATAATGAGCATGGGAGAATTTTTTAGCATGATGGAACCATTCTATATCTGGACTGTGGAAATGTTTACACACTATATACATTTGTCAAAATAGGTAGAACTGTACAATAAAGTAGGTAAAATTCATTATCCATAATTACACTATAATAAAAATTAAAAAACCTTTCTAAGAAAATCATATTTTTTAAAGGTGAGATTAAAAACTGCATTACCAAAATGTAGCCTATAACATTCAACTTATTTTACTTTGGTTTAATGGCTACTGTGAAATAAAAATTGTAAAAATTAGAGAGAAAAGAAATGAGGGAAAGTGATTTGCAAACACTGAAGAAAAAATCTAATTTTAATTTTAACACCAATAGAAAAATTAATATTACTAAGATTTCATATTAAAGAAAATATATTAAATAGCATCCATTACTTAACTTCCTTGCCACATTAAATTAACCTATCAATAATTTCAATATTTAAATCATTGTCTTGGCAAATCTTTCAAAACATTTTTAACAAAATACATTCTTGACTGCTCAATCTCAGGACACAAGCATACCAGAAATACCTTCATTTTTTTTAATTTTTAATTTTAATTTTTTGTATAAAAGAAATCCATTAAGAAAGCCCAGTTTTATTTTGCTAAGTAATAGGCTTGTTAATATGAACAGACTTCTCATTTTTTTCCAGTTTTATTGGGATATAATTGATATATAATACTGTACTAGTTTAAGGTATACGACATAATGATTTGATATATGTATGTAAGACAAAGTGATTACCACAATAAGATTAGTTAACATGTCCATCACCTCACATAGTTACAATTTTAGAAATAACTTTTTAAAGAATGGAAAGATGAAATTAAAAGAATAGAACAGTCAAATAAGTGTATATGAAAATAACACCAGTAATTTCTCAAAAAATGTAATCTATATTCTTTGTGAAATTAAACAATTGGCTTAAAATGTGTAAATATAAGTTTAGAAAGAAAGCATATTTTCAGGATGTTTATGTAAAAATCAAAATTATTTTACACACACAACAGCAAATTTTTAATACAGGCCTACATCATTTTTATCACCATTTACTTTAATGCAATTCACAGATACTGCATTTTTTAATAAATTGAAGGTTTGTGGCAACCCTGCATTGAGCAAGTCTATTAGTGCCATTTTCTAACAGCATTTTGCTCACTTTGTGTCTCTGTGTCATGTCTTAGTAATTCTCACAGTATTTCAAACATTTCCAATATTATCATATTTGTTTTGGTGATTGGGGATCAGTGATTATGACTCATTGAAAGCTCAGATGATGGTTAGCGTTATTTGGCAATGAAGTATTTTTTAATTAAGGTATGTCCAGTGTTTTTAGACATAATTGTATTGTACACGGTACAGTGTATAAACATAACTTGTGTGTATATAAAGAACATTTTGTTACAGTGTTGTATCTACATTTCAAAATAGACTATATAGAGAATCACCATAAAATTTCCTGAGATACATAGGAAGCAAGGAGATTATAGTAGAGGATATTATATTCATGGAGTTATTCAACTAAAAAAAGTCTTCACTACTCATGTCTATTCATTTATAATATATCCTTTAACAAAAAGGCCAAAGAATATAGAAATAGTTCCAATTAGATTTTTTTTTCTGCTAAGATTTTGATGAGAAGGAAACC